ATTTTTTTTTTTATTACTATTATTACTACTATTAATTACATCCTTTCTCAAGAATTTTACGAAAAGAAAAGACTCAGTGATGAAAAAAATACAATCGACTTTGGGTAATAATATCCGAAAATGACATAGTGTTTTCAACACTAAACGTATTAGGTACACATTTTATTGTACATAGTATTTAAACATTAATTTTTTTTTCACTTAAAAAATGTTCTTAAAATTACGGAAAAATTGGACGAAAAGGGGGAAAAAGGAACATTCTTTTAAATATGTACATAAGGCAAATATTGTGTTAATTACTAAATTTTTAGCGTTATTAATTTGTACATTACGTTTTTATCTCTTGAAGGTATTGCTGCGATTATGTTATAATTTTGAGGTTTTTCTCTTTTACTGCCATCGATTTACTTCAGGCGTGAAAGTTCGTTTTTACCAATAGAATTTCAACGAAAAAACGTCACAGTTGACATTTTACTCCGATACTCGTGTCTCGATTACGCTATTCACACTATTAACCCTCGGATTATCGACTTTATTCAACTGTATCTTCGCAACGGCCTTATAAAAGACGTTAAGTCTGAATCGTATGCATTTCTCTTACAAGACTATATTTCGCAAACCTTACGAATAGCGACACACAGTGTAAGACTTGAAAACTCGGCGAAAATTATTTCAACGCGTTTGTATCGAAATTTTTTACAACAAAAATTGTCATTGTGATATACGTATTTTTAATTTACGGATGCAATAGTAGCATTCGGAAATTCGAAAAACATATGCATTTTACACACAGCAGCACTGCCACGATGTTTTTCAACAACATGATAATCAGAGGGTTATGACTGAAATAAAAAAATAAAATAAAAAAAATTTGTAACTACATCCTTGATATTGTTTATAATTTTTATGATTGACAAATGAAAATTTGTTTGTAATAAAAGGCAAGTGCCATAATTTCAAAAAAAAAAAACGACTAGTCATTCAATACTACCCTTTCCACCTCCCCGCGTTACATTCCGTTACATTTCGGCAGGAATAAAAAAAATGGGGGTGCAACTCAACAAAGCGTCATCAAAAAAGCCGTGGCTGACTCCGGAGTCGGCAAAACTTGTCCGAAAGCCTCGAGCAGCAGAGGCTCCTCGCTAACAGTCGCTTCGTAATCGAAGAACGACACCCTGCCGTCGTGGTCGACGTCGAGCTTCTTCAGCGCCATTTCCGACAAGTCTCGCACCCCTTCCTCCGGGTCTTCTTCGCCTGGCTGCTTCATCAAGCTGTTTCTGAAATGCATGGTGGAAAAAAAAAAATTAAACCTAAAAATTTCTTTTACCATTCAAAAGTGAACCAAAAAAAACCACTCGCTTGAACAGCTGGAAGATCTCGTCCTTGGTGATAAAGCCGTCGTTGTTTAGATCGTAGACACTGAAGCAGAACTCCATCTTTTCGTGCAGGGTCCCGCGCAAGAAGACGTCCAAGCCCGTGATCCACGACTCCAGTCTGATGGCACCCTCGCTGTGCTTGTCCCAGCACGAGAACATGCGCTCGACCAACGCGTCCTCCGTCAACACGTCGAACGTGTTGTGAAGCAGTTCTCGAAATATGGTTCTGTCGATGCCCTGCGTTTGGGAATTAAAAGCGAAAAATCAACCATCGGTGATTTCAAAAAAAAAAGAAAAAAAAGGAGTTTTGGTGATATTACTTCGATCTTTTGCACGGCCGCAGCCGTCCCGTTGCACGTAGTCGAGGAGCCCGATGTCAGCTTGGCATATATTTTACACAGAGCCTCCAATTCTTGCCTACAAACAACAAATCGATGTTGATCAATGTTCCTACGTCCAGTACTCTGTGCACTTTTTATTTTTTTCAAACAAACATACATATTTGTGATGAAAAAAAAAAAATAACAAGTGTCCAATCAAATTGGTTGGCGTGTATGTACATCAATCGAACAAAACCCTATATTCAAAAGAAAAGCAGAAAAAGAAAAAAAACTCCTATCGGAAAACTCCAATGATTCAACAATGTGGGCAACGGACCAACTAAAAATAAAAAATAAAAAAGACTAGTGCAGTGAAAAGCATAAATTAAAGCTCGGATATACAATTGCTATATAGATCCACTGAGCAACCCTTTGAATCAAAGAAAATTCCTTTACCCTCTTTCCGTTAAATATCTTCTTTTAATTACGAAAGTATAAGTTTGTTAAAAAAAATTTTTTATTCAATTCCGAATTTCTCATTCCAATGTATGAAATGTTTTTTGTTTTTTTTTGTTTTTTTTTTTTTTTGAACCAAAAGGAAACATTTAACGAAACGATCAAAAGAATGGGGGGTTGCTCAGTGGACACGTGGATATATAACAGTGCAGCCACGTATCCCTAACTTGGAAAACTTGGTCTTCTTCCTGAGCGCCTCGGCGAGCTTGGCGTGGTGGGCCGCGCTCCTTACCGCCGCGCTCTCGCCGACCGGCATCCTCCTGCACCTGCTCCTGCCCGAGGACTGCCCGAGGGCCGCGCTACCCGAGGACCCGGACCTCTGCCTGCGCGAGCCAGTCGTCGAGGAAGCCTTGCGCCCGCTCGCCAGGAATATCGAGACGCTTCTCATGACGATGGCGCCGGTGCGGCCGCTCAGCGCCACCCGTGCCTCCCCGACCTCATCCCCACCTTCATCCCCCCGCCTGTTGTTGTTGCTCTCGCTCATGTTGCTATGTTGCCTGATCCTTACCCTGCTCCATTTACGCGCTGATAAAACATCTGTGTGGTGTACCATGTACGCGCGTGCGGAGGATTGGCTCGTGGGCGTGAAAATTTGATGGACGGGGTTGTTGGGAGTTGGAGGGTTTTGCGGGGGGCTTCGCTCTAATTGAGCCTGAGGGCCGTATGGTTACATATACATCATGTATGTCACCGAGAGGGTATATACGCGAGCGCGATCGAGATGAGAGATATTATACCGTTTGGTTTGCTGATTTTATGATTTCGGAGAGGGTTTTTTTTTTTTTTTTTTTTTTTCCTCTCCTCGGAAGTTTTTACTTGCCGCTAATTTGATCCTTGCTGCGCAACCCCGTGATTTATAATCGTGCACTTGACGCGCGAGAGTCTTGTGTATATAATTCCGCTGTTCTTTTATTTTTCATTTTCATATGAAATTGTCGAAGAAAAAAAAACACCTGGGGATTTTATCGCATCAAAGGATGTTTCGAGTCTTTTTTTTCTGAAAAATCGAGCAATATGTTTGTAGCCGAATCAGCCCCGTTGATGGGAGCCAGTTAAACAACTTCCGTGCGTGTCGAACCCTCATATACCAATGTGTACGAGGAAATCATCGAAAGTTTTCTCATCAGATAAAACATACGTGTTTACTCGCTTTACGAGGAAAACTGTGTACAAGGCCTTGAGAGACATATATATGTGGGCTGTTTCGATGAAACATAACAAAACATCATAAAAATCCAATCGACGCGAAATAGTAAATTTCGCACCCAATAGCCCCCTTTGACGTGGATTAGATGTTCACTATGGTGCTAACGTTATTTTTCCTACTCAATTTTTACACTGGATACACAACTGTTTACTTTTACGAGGAAAAATAAATTCATGATTTTGGTAAATCTAGAGTCGGTGATACAACAGATACTCGTCCGTTGTTTTATGTAGTAATTATGCTTTATTTAAAAGAAATGAATCGCTTTGTAGGAAATAAATTTCATTATTATATTCAAATAATATTGTTAATAGACAAAATTTAGTTTGTATTGAAGTCATTAAAAACTGTAAGTGTATACAAAATCACAAAAAAGTTGTCAACCCGAATAAAAGTAATGAGCAAATTCGAAATTAAAAAAATATCTTTTCTGGTAATAATCGTTGCATTAAGCCAGTTTTTTTCATAAAAGATCATTTATCAACTTGAATCTCTTTCCCGTAAGCACGTATTGAAATATTTAATCCTTCAAGGGTTCAAGCTCATACGCGAGTTAATGTGATTAAATGTAAAATTACGTTCATGTTTACTTTTCAAAATCAAATTTTTCCAATTATTTTATTAAAATTCGATAAATAACACTGATTGAAGAATCGCGATAAGAAGCTGAAAAAGAGGATGGTATAAGGTTGCTCAGCCAGAATCTATTAATATTTGTTTTATCGTCATAAAAAAGAAATTTTTTATTTTCTAAATGTTTTGATAACCAGTTCGTATCTAAGTAAACAACCATGTATCATTAGTGCTGAAAACACATTATATTGATGATACCAAGAAAACAGTATATACTAAACTTCAGAGCGATTCATCAATTTCATAAAAAATGGCATGAAATTATTGACAACTTGCAATAAACACACGCGGAGCTCAAGAATTTCAAGCGAATATAAAAATATATCAATAACATATTTGCATTTTCGAACCTGATTCTTAAAGATAGTAATAAAAGAAAAAGAAAAAAAACACGGGAAGGAAACGCATTCTACGTTCAACGAAGTGGAAGTTGAATAACAATTTTTTCCCAAGGTTTCAATTAAACTTATTCAATCAAGTGTCAGGTAACTCTGAAAATTGCCAGTTGAAAATCGACTGTTTCCGATCTTCACTCTGCAACCACTTGCTTTTGACAATCGATGTAACACGCGAAGTTACCCCAGCCTACTTACTTATCCACAGGTATACCAATGTCCATGACTATATGATCAAAGGGGGCTACTCTGGGTACCAAAAATTATTTGTCCCTACACCAGCTTGATAAAATAGGTGTAGTTACTTTTTGGAAAAGTTTTCAAAATTTTACTACGATAATTCCACAAAAAAAAACTGTAACTCTTAATTTTCGCTCTTATTATTACATCAATAATACGCTCGAGCTACAGTGTACAGGCTGTTCGATTATACTTCGCGAGTCCTGTATACATCGAATTTCAAAAAAAAAGGAAGCCCAACGAGCTAGTCAATATTTTGTTGCCCTTCACGAGAAAAAATGCGATTCAGATTTTTCGACGATAGTATTTGTTCTTTGGATTCTCCTGCGTTGAATAAAAATACTGGAAAGTTATACATTCTTGTCTCGTAAATAATCCGAATCATATTTCAGCTCAATATAAAAGCAACCTAATAATTTTACTGGGAAGATGTTTCATAAAAAAAAAAATTAAATAAAATAAAATAAAAAAAAACACTTCAATCATCAAACATTAAAGTAAAATCCTACCCTCGCAAGCTCTAGAAGCATCTTGCAAGCCCTGATCCGCCGTCAAAGTAGTATACCTCCCCCACGCGAGCAGCTGAGGTTATATGTATATACTCCACCTCAAAAAGGGGCACACGGCTCGGTTCACGTCAATTGAATTAGCGATAGATATGGATAGTATAGTACACTCACCCGACCTCTGTGCTACCTCCGCCTCCTCCCTTTTTCTCCCCCTCATCGCACTTCACCTTGTTGTGGAAAAAAATAAGGAAACAGGGAAAAAAGGGAGGAAAAAAGGACGAGCAGAGAAGTATTACAAAAAAAACACAGACACGGGGCTTACACTCGGCCCGTGGATGGACGGGGTGCGCGCGCGCTCTAGCATCGATCAAACTTGTCAAATACATCTCGGGAGAACACGAGTATAATGTTATACGTAAGGAGAAAGGCAGGAGATGCGAAAAAGTGAGCCTAATAGGGGTAATTAGGGTTCGTGTGCGCGAGAAGGAGCCCATCGAGGACTCGATCGTGTTTGGTGCTCCCTATATACGAGCGGTGCTGTGCATCGAATGTTCTTTCCTTTTTGCTCGAGCGTGCCGATGTTGTCTTGCGAGTTGATGGTTTGTATCCGCGTTTGATTGATAAGTGCTGGATCGGAACAACTGGGGTAATGAGAAACTTTTTTTTTTCCGGAACGGGTGTTGTTTTCATTTTTCATTGCTTTGGTTGTTGATCGTACGAAATCATAGATTCACACCGTATTCAAGGGACAGACGAGGAGATGGTAATAAGTAACCGACTGCTGGCTTACCCGTATGAATTACATGTATTGTGCGGATAGAAAAAACAATTTGTGACTGTTGCTAGTTTATTGTAGCATAAAATATACTTATTGAAGAGATCAATTGGTATACGTAAAATGCTCGAGGTGGACGATTCTACTAATAATAGTAACACTTTTGCTGGCAGCAAGCGACCATTGTAATGATTGTGATACATTGTTTAATTTATGTCTACAAAAGGAGATGAAACTATATTTTTTATCTTGACTTAATACGAATTAAACTAGTACAGCCTTAACTATCGCATATCAATTTGAAACTTTTGAAAAAATTTTAACTCCTCGTCTGAATTATTATTTTTCGATTTTTCATCAAAGTTGATATTCCTCATTATTTCGTTTGAGTTGTTACTTTTAATTATTTTGTTTAACTGATTAACTTTCATTATCACTCATCAGAGTTTGTTACTTTTTCTGATATTTATTTTAGCTCATAGCATTTGTACCCCATGGATGATATAATACCTTTTTTACCACTTGACGATGTTGTTACCTTTTTTAGCACTTGGTGAGTTACTAATTTTAATATCACTCTTACGTGATATTACCTCTTACAAGGCGTAGCTGATTTGATACTTGTTTTTCTACTTTACTTACATATTACTTTTAATATTTTATTGTAGTTAGTACATTTTATGCCGTTCGGCTGACGTATTACCTTTTGCACCACTTGGCAACGTACCTTTTATGGCGCTGAAGTAAATATAAGTAAGTATACACAACTAGAATTAGTTGTAACTTTTCGAGGCTTCATTTTTTTTACACTTAAAATAAGATACATGCTTGACGAGTAGACTTGGGCAACAAATATTTTTTTCATACTTTATTCAAATACTTACGGCAACTCCTGATGCAGTATAGACATATATGAACGTACTTGAAAAGCTTCTTCCTTTTATTATTATTATTATTATTATTATTATTATTATTGTTATTATTATTGCACAATATTCTAACGAGTTCGTGGTAGTGTTATTTCGATGATTTTTGGCACATTTTGAAGCAATTTTCTTTATAAACTTTGCTGGGGCGATACCGTAGACGGAAATGGTAATCGCAAAAAATTATATTTCAATAAAATCAGTCTTGCATAACTATAATTATCGACCAAAGCAACTTTCTGATAGAAAATAAATAAAATTATCAATGTATGCCCCATCTCGATCAAAATTTCAATTTAACTACATCACAATATGGCACACCTGTGTTATTTGAATTATATTGTTTACCATAATAACACTGTCAAATGGACAATGTGGTTTTAGTTAAAACACAATCATAATAATAAGTTAAATTTCATTTGTACTTATTTAACCGAAAAATGTAATTCTTAAGAGCCCCGATCTTGAAATACTTAACATGTCAACGCGTACCTTCAAAATCCGTCATTACCACGCATGTAAGCCAGGCTTATGCAATGTAAGGCAATCTTCGAAATTGTCCCAGAGCATAGACGACCTTAACGAAAGTAAACTGCCGTGAACCTGGCATTAATAATCACTTTTACGACGACGGGTTTTCCTTGGCTACCTGTGCATCGGGATTCCCCTCCGCGATATCGGTATACACCAATTGTATTTTATCAATCAAAGATTCATACTGGCTATGTGCACTTGAGAGTTTTTCCTCTGCCAATTTTGCGAATCGGCGTATCTTTGACGGTTTTTTGCAGCGAACGCT